ATCGAATGCATCTGATGTTTTAAGTGAACTATTCTTCATTTCGCCGATACTCAAACATCTCTCTATCAAAATGTTTCATGTTAACGAGAACAATTTGAAAATTCGTCCTCCAAATTCATCAAAATTATCTTCTGTTCAATATTGTCACATACAACACATAGAAATCAATTTATTGAGTTTACTTACTGTTGCACCTATGCTTCACACATTTGAAGGTAGGTTTTGGTCTTCTAATTCTAATTTGATATTAACTAGAATTTATCCTCGTATATTTTATTTGCAACAATTGCGAATCAAATTGTGGACTATCACTTGGAAAAATATGACAAATTTACTCTTATCATTTCCACAACTCATCTATTTAATAGTTATTGCTGAAAATGTCAATAGTGATATGGCTGATGGTTTTGCCTGGGCAAGATTATTACAACACATCAAACATTTCGAGTTTAAATTGGAATTCTCCTACAATGCATTCGAACAAGAACCACTCAATCTTGACTCATTTCGTACGAAATTTTGGCTTGAAGAGAAAAAATGGTTTGTTACATATGATCGAAGCACAAGTTCTGATGATCTTTCAATACTCTATTCGAATTATTTTTCTATGATCGTCTATCCACCACATGAAATATTTGGAACATTAATATCAGAAACAACAGCAGCAGAACTGGGAACATTTTCACATGTTCATCCCCTGACAATTTATAATCACTATCTGAAATATCCATTCGTATATCGATACAAGCATATTAAAGAGTTGCATTTGTCAAAAGTTACTACTGCATATTCTATGTCGTTCAAAGATTTCGTAACTTGTATTGATACATCACAAATTATGAAATGTATCATTTTTTCCGAATGGATTGGAAACTCATCTTCCGAACACATCGAATTTTTACATAATTTGCCTCGTTTGCGTTGGCTTGAAGTTTCTGTTTTTCATCTCAATCATCTTTTTCGTTATCAATGGTCTCATATCATTCATTTGAAGATTGACAATGACCGTGAGGGTAAATCTTATATATTATCTTCCAATGATATCGATTCACTTTGTCATTCGTTTCCTCATATTGAACGACTTGATATTTATTCGTCACATGTCACTGATCTATCACAACTTCTCAATAGAATGAAAATAACATTAACAGATATAATTATTAGACAATCACACAATGTCAATAATCAACAATTGATAACACGTCAATGGATTGAACGAAATATAAAATTGAAAAATTTTCACTATAAATCCAGATGTGATTTTATCAAACTATGGCTTTGATATCTCTGTCACATATTGATTTATTTACTTTTTTTGTTGTATCTATGATATTCATTTTGTAAAATTAATTTACATATTATATTATTATTGTATTTCGCACAAACACAAACGATCTAAATGAACGTCTGAATGTGATTATTTTCCGGGCAGACAAGCATGTCACTTTTTGTACTAATTTAGTATCAAAAAAAGTATGTCTAATTTTTTATATAGTTTGTTCTCTTTTTACAGATTTTTTTGCATCTAAATTTTTGATGGCAAAAAACGGCTACTTTTTTTTCTCAAAAATAGTGAAAAACTTTTGAGCGTTTAAACGCATTAAAAAACATAAAATTAAGTGTCAAATTGTATGCAATTTTTTTGAATTATTTTCGAAAATTTTATTTTATGCGTTTATTAGTTGTATTTGGGTGGGGTGTGGGTGTGGGGTGGGGGTGTGGCTGTGGGTGTGGGTGTGGGTGGGTGTGGGTGTGGGTGTGGGTGATGATGTGGGTGTGGCTGTGGGGTGTCGGTGTGGGCGTGGGTACGCGTGTACGTAATGTCTTCCAATCACTCACACCCACACCGAGACCCACACACCCACACCCACATCCACACCCACACCCACACACCCACACCTATACCCACACCCTACATCCACACCCCACACCCACACCCTCACCCATACCCCACACCCGCACCGTATTATATTTTGCTTCAAAATTTAAATTAAATAAAGTTGTGCACTCTTTTCAAAACATTTCGACTTCATTTGGGTCTACACGATATGCATGATCTCGCGTCGAAAACGAACAAGTATCTGGATATATTTCTTTCTAAGAAGTTTTTTCAATTCAACTGAAATAATTGATTTTAGACATTTTATTATCAGTCTATGTATGTTCCATTTATGGAAATGTAGATAGGAAACGTTATTTTATATGAGGTCTTTGCATTAACTTGGGCGACTTGCACAAAAATAGGGATATTCTCTTAGAATATAACTAACATTTATTTTATCATGAACATTACTTTTTCAAATTCATTATTATTTCATCTATTCTGCATATTTCGATTCGAAAACAATGTTGTTGATGAGAAATAAAAAATGATTACTAATCAACAATTTTTGCATAAACTTTTAAAATACGTAATTCATTTATAAATTTAATTGGTTCTTGGTGGAAAATAAAGGATCATGATATAGATGTTTGGTTTAATGATCTAAATTATCGAATATCACAATGAAATGAAATTAAGCCATGTCTTCAGTAATTGTTATGAACCTCCAATTGATTTCATGCCAACAGATAAATTTGATCCTAATACCGACGTTTATGATACTAATGATAAAATGCATACATCATAATATATTCGTCATCATCATTTCAACCAAATGGTTCTATGAAACTGAAAGAATTATCTGATGAGCCAATTTTTGATTTTTTTTAACATTTACGTGTAACCCTATGTATATATTAAAAATAGATGAAGAACAATATATAGATATTACTTTTCAAATGAAATTCTTATATTATTTGGTTTGTTCCTTCATCAATTTTCTCCTACATTGTATGACAGTGAAAGAAGACAATATATTTATGCAGTAAATAGAAATAAACCTTATCACAATTTTTCAATCGAAAGTGATATTAGATTCAGATGAATGTGTTCAACAGTCAAAAGAGTCTTTCCTCAAGAGAATTTCAATGTTCGCTCAATCGTAGAACATATTCGAACGATAATCAAATTTGAAGATCCCCATTTGTTTTATAGATTTCATTGTTCATATGTATTACTTTCATTTATTTTTAAAAATTATTTCATTTTCAAGGAATAATGTTTTCTTTTCATTTCACAAAGGATTAAATATACTGAAAATCAAGCCTGCTAACATTAATAATGAAGAAATCATTGTTATATTTCCTTTGGCAATTTTTCTTCCATTTTCGTCTATTAAACTATAATTGATAAGAATAACTTTCACTTTTGAAACTATTTCATCACTATTACATAAATCACGGTTGCAACTAATTTTAAGCGACGTATGATCTTTACTATCATAAAAAGTAACATAGGGTTGATTAAATGACTCGCAACCACGTGACGTAAATGTCTTTTCTTGTAGATCATATTGTACACTACACTGTTCTTTAGATCCACATGTGGCAAGTGCGTTTCTATATTTATAACATTGAATTGTACCATTTCTTGAAGGATTCTCAATTATTGGAGCCATCTCTCCATAAATTATTTCAGGATTGTAAACGCGATTAGACATTTCATAAACTCTGTCATTTATATATGGAATAACACAATCAGTTCCTTTCGAGCATTGATAATTAATGTCGTAACTTAGGTATTTTCCAGATGATATATAAAAATAATCGGATGATATCGGAAGGGTGTCGAATGTTACTTGATATGACCTAGTTCCATAGTTGAACTGTATTTTAACAGAGCAGCTAGATCCAGATTCACGTTGTTGACATTGTCCATCAGGAATTTGAAATGGTTGGTAAAAAGACAAAGGACCAACTGAACAGTTAGTTCTGCATTGTAGAGCAAAACTACTGCTTGTTGTTATCAGTAAAATTAATAACAATACGGACATTTTGTATTTGAGCTGATAAAGCAAAAGAGAAAAGTTGCTTTTTATACTGCTTATCAATAAACACGTGGAAAGTCTGTGATGCAAAAGAGAAAAGTTGTTTTTATACTGCTTATCAATAAACACGTGGAAAGT